GCCATCAAAAGAATCAACTTTGTGATTTACTGCTACAATTAATAATTGTCTCAGTAAATGCCCAAACCCTACAGAACTGGTGCCTTCAGAGAGCCACTATGATTACATATTTGGCGTCCCTGAACCGGTTTTCCCTACAACAGTATCACTTACAACACTTTGGATTATAAAGGAATTAATGCAGATGGAAATGCAGGTAAGATTGATTACTATACATCTACAGTGTGTTACTTGACACCACTTAACCGTGCACCCTTTAAAGTACAAGAGATATAATGCACACACTCCTTACTTCCATGTCCACACACATTTTACCACAGATCACAGATTAATCACAGATCAAATAGTTATCAAATGTTGTGTACTTGTTCTATTGTCTTTGAATTTGTCATTTTAACAGTTAAGCAAATCCTCTCTATCTGTATTTTTCACAGGTATGTGGCAGAAGTGTACGACAGTCTGTGGAGAGACTGCATGAAATGCTTCAGGATGTAGACATAATATTATTTAGCAATTATTGAAATATGCTACTGCAAATTCCGTCATTTTGGGCTGCAATAATCACAAAAAAGTCTGCAAGATCCTGGTGGGACTGGTATATTGTACAGTACTGCACAGTCCAAAGACTTACTGGGAGGTTGTTTTTGGCAAAATAGGCTCCGGCGTGACTGTGTGTATCTGGATGAATTATTTTCAGTGATGGTTTCGTGATTAAGGATTTATTCACAGAATTCTTTAAGTTAAACAAAGGAGGGAAAAAGGGTTATTTTTACAATTGCCAGTAACCGAATAACAGCTTATCAATATGTTGAAACCATAACACTACATTGAAGACAGATGTGTTATGCCTTTAAGTGAGCCAGTGACTGTAGTTGTGACAATATTGTGTGGCTCTGTGGAATTATTCTGTAAACTGATGAGTTGTGTATGGCCTCTTTTTATATTTGTAAAAACGTTACAATTTAAATGTTCTACGGAATATATTATTAAAAATATTAATAATGAATGACCATGGATGAGCTGTAAACTGAAGAGTTATAGAGAAGACACATTGAAACTATTCTTTTCAGTTTAGAGTTAACCTTTAGAGTGATCCTTTTGGCTATATTTTTTTACATAGCCAGATGTATAAAAATGGTTTATTATTATAGGTTGCTGCGAACGCGATGTGCCTTTTTCAAGTTTACATCCACTTTAAGAAAATCAATATTTTGTCTTAATACAAATTTCAGCAAGGAGAAATTTAACAAAGAAGTGAAACATGAAAAACTCACTGTAATGTATGGAGATTTGCTTACTGGATCTGTTTCCTTTGGCAAATGTATACCTCCTTGGCATCTATGTTATATGTAATGTGAAATTGGAAACTAGTCCCATCAGTCCAGTTAATGAGAAGAACAGCAACACAGTTCTTGCCTCTCGTTATTTTTATTTCTTTTAGTAGTTCATGTTATCACACATACATGACAGTCACAAAGAAAAAAAAATGGTTGTGAAGTTCTCCAAAGCCTTTTCAGTCAAGAACTGAGAATTAAAAGTAGAGACCTGTGTCAGCATGCGTAGGCTGCAAAAGAACAAGTAAAAGTTTATTCCATGCCAAAAAGGGAAGAATAGAAACGCAATATTTCAGCTGTGAATGTTTTTTCAGGTGTGAAAATAAAGATTCCTAATTCAATTGCAGCCTAAACCTTACCCCACACAACCTCCCCCCGCTGCGATTAAGAAATATACACACTACTGAAAGCACTCCGAGGAACAACTTGTTAAAGTATAACTTGCATTTTGGCTGCAATTAAACATAAACCTTTCGCATGCCTTTCTTAATACCACTTTGATATTCTAGATTATAATTATAAAATATATATACAATTTTGTTTTAAAACCTGTTTTTACCCCTACCATTGACAGTATCCACAGTTGCAAACTCTTTCATGTACAATATTAATAATATTAATTTATTCCGTGTTGCATTTAAATTTAAATGTTTTTACAAGTTAAATCCATCAGTTCATCCATGCTTTATATGGTCAGATGTTTCGCATACATAGGAATAGTAATTCTCTCATTACAAACTTGCTTACACCTTGCATCCGCTTGACTCAAAATAAGGTTTCTGAAAATGGAACCAGGTACTGGATGTTGTCCATACCAATAGGAGTACTTTTGGTGCGTTGGTGGGTCGTGGAAAGATTTAAACATTTAATGACTTTACTGTGCACGTTTTAATCCGCTAAGTATTGAATATTTATATGGAATATTAACACTAAAGGGAAATTTTACTAGCTGAGCATAAACAGAATAGGAGCATAATGCATCTGAAGGTCATAAACAATATTAATTTAGAAACATAAACATATTATGTAAACTGTATATTGCTGGTCTTGGTATTTCAAAGAAAAAATACACACCAGTATTCCATTTCTCCCTAAACATTTTAAGCATGAAAGTCTTACATGTGGTTATTTTGGAAATGTTTTTATATGCTCCTTCTGAAAATGTTACTGTATGTTTATACAGTATACAGTACTTTGTGAGAAAAGTGATAGTTTTAAGTTTTTCTGCGAATATGCTCGATACCAGAGTAAACAAGCATACTTTTAGAATTAGATTAATAGGGAATATAACATGGAATCGTGTATCTAAAGAAATTAATAACAACATAATTATATTCATGTACTACAACACAAGAATAGTATACGCTGTATACTGTAACGCAAACAGTAGTATTGATATGTGTACGTCTGTTTCACCACTTGTCGTGTGATGGTTTAAGTGCCTGACTTATAAGCGAGAGGTCGATTGTTCAAATCCAGCTATCGCCACGGGTTCTCTTTTAACAAACATTTATTTGAAAAACTAAAACAGCAATACTATAGACACTCTATTGACTTTTTATATTTCTAAATATCACAACATGTTTGAATCTAAGTCATTTTTTAATCACAATGAATAGTCACCGTCTTTCCCTCTGAATTGCTCCAGTAGCAGGAACCTGTATCGTGTGGATCGTCTGGATCCCTTTAGATCTCCCTTCAGATTTAAAAGGTTATTAATAATATCTTCAGTGTTGCATTTTCCCAGTTTAGCTGATCTTTTGCTGCCTACGCATGCTTACACAGCTCCCTAGGTAAATTATCATACTTGACTGAGAAAGCTTTAGAAAACTTAACATTTCTATTATCAACATATTGTAAATACGATGTTTACATTGGCATTATGAATTCTTCACTTGAATGCATGGAGGAGTGTCAGCTGTCAATGAGAGCAGACCCCCCCTCTTAGGCTGGGAAAACGATTTTTTTAATTTTTAAAAAAGAAATAAAAAAATAGATATAATGATATAAACATTTACTGCAATACAATACTGCAACATTTCGGCTGTGAATCCTTCTTCAGGTGTGAGGGTCTTCAGCTCAAAATGAAACGCTTGGAGTTTGTAATGTAGGGCGCTCTGAACGGGTTAAACTTTCATGCAGGAAAAATTTATTTCCCAGAAGCTACAGTGTACCGATTCGTATGGAAGCCCGTTTCCGCCAGGGAGTAAAATAAAAATGCGCAATGGTATTCTCTCCGATGCAGTGCAGTT